AAGTATGGTAACTTGAGCACTATCCTCTCCTCCTTCCTACTTTATCTGTTTAGCATTTTTAGGATTCTGACTGTAGTTTGTTCATTGCTATTCACCCGTTGTCCCATTGTCTGTTTCATGGTACGATGACGGGATCTCTGAGCCTGGCCTCTTCCATCTACACCTGCGGACTGCCCCGCCCGACCCGCCTGGGAGTGCTTCGGTCCTGCACCGGACCTGTCCACGTTCAGCATCCACTGGTCCACGTTCTGTAGCTAGCTTAGGTCCTAGATCATTAGTCTGTCCGTCCGGAGGAGCGGATCCCTTTCTCATATGGGTCTCCCTCCCTGTGGGTTTCCCTAGTTCTCCTCCAAGGTTTCTCACTTTTTCCCACTGGGTTTTTTAAGAGTTTTTCCTTGTCGATGCAGGAGGGTCTTGTTGGACAGTTAGTGTCCAACAGAAAGGATTGGTGATGATCAGGACACTTTAGCATTCTACAACATGTATGGACATTTTCTTCTGTGTGTGCTTTATATTCTCCATGTGTTAACTGTTGATTCTCTGACCTGTGTTGGTGATTTAATGGTTTTGTTAAGTCCTCTGAGATGACTTCTGTTGTGACCTAGGGCTATACAAGAATAAATTGTATTGTATTGTGTATTGTATCCATTTCTGGGTCAGGGGGGTGGCAGTCAGAGATGCCACCCAAGTCTCATAGCACCAGCCTCTCACTGACCCTCTGCAGGTGGTGAGACCACAGGAGGACGGCTGCTCTGAGTGTGAGCATAGCCTTGATCTTTCAGTGGGGGCTTTGGGCAAGGTGGGGTTAAGTGTCTTGCCCAAGGACACAACGACAGCAGTCATCAGTGGGAGTCGGTGGAGAAGGTGCAGAGGTGGGAATTGAACCCACGACCTTCTGGCCTTAAGGCCAATGCTCTACCAACTGAGCTACTGTCGTTTCTGTATATGTTTCTTTTTTATTATTATTATAATTATTTTTAAATGATTTTTATACATAATGATATGCATATATATATATATATATATATATATAACAATGTCTGTTGATTGACAATAAGTTATTAAAAAAAGTTAATATATTAATGACACCGTAACCAGCGTGTCCTACAGCAGCAGTGAGCCGTGAACGCATCATCCCCGTGTCTCCTGCTGCATGCTGTGGTCAACAGCGAACAGGAACAATGGTAGAAATGGATCGAGTGGAGACAAAACAAATTCAAAAGTGGAGACTAAACTTGCGATTGGACGGTGAGTGCGTACAACAAGGAAATCAGATATGTCGGGTTCTGTCGGGCTCGAGCCTGTTATACAGCGTTCATTGGTCGGGCTTATACGGGCTCGGGCTTAACATTAGCGCGCTCGGGCCGGGTCGGGCTTCATTATTCAGGCCCGAACGAAACTCTACCATAGGGGTAGCGAGTTAGCGGCTAGGCTAGGCTAGGCCGGACCTGCGTACAGTGCAGCAGACTCAGACCAGAAAAACAATAGATACCCAAACTTCAGCTACAATACAGTTGATTCAGAGTGCTTACAAAGTTAGCTTGTTGTAGACTAATACGTGGATTTATCAAAGGTTAATGCAAACAGAGCGCAGAGGGATAACAATCAAAACATGCTCATCGGATACAGATGTAGACTTACCTCCATCCTTTATAAATGAATGAAACACAGTCTTGGGATACAATCACAGATTTATTAAAAACAAACGTAAAGTGCAAAACCATCAGTTTCAAATTACGTATAAAAGTAAGCAAAGTAAGTCCAAGGTACGTATGTCTGAGACCAGATGAGGAGAATACTCCGGTCACTCATTGCTCGTTGGTAATCTCCTCACTTATGGGAAGGGATTCTCATACAAATATACACACGACAACTTAAATACAAGCACAAAACAGAATAACAACACGTGGATACTGGAGATAATACGAGATAAAGCACAGAAAGGACATTAGCTCAGCTGCTATCGATATCTAAATGAAGCTAATTGTAGCTAGCTCACTGTGTACAACCGGTGGTGGCGGGTCTCGGCTCAAAAGTGGCCAAAATGATGTGCACTGACATGCTTGCAATACCACCCCAGGACGATGGGGGTGGACCCAGAAGTAGAATTAGCCAATGCTAACATACAGTATTGGCAGTATACAGGATGGACCAAAAGTTGGCTCTTGGCCCAAAGCTCCGTTCCACATGTGTGTCAATGCTGAGGGGGGTGAATTTTTTTCGTCCACTCTAGTTTACTCGCTGTGAAGTTTTGAAGTCTCTCGTTCAAATGAATGGAGCTGCGCCGGCTGATGCATGCGCAGATGCGTTTCATGACAATTTTCTTGTGGGCGGGACCACTCGCAGCCATTTTGGATAGCTCCAGTAGAGCACATTTTTTGGCCCATTAGTTACAGTAGAACGCCGAAGATAGGCGTGACTCTGTCTGTTAATATCTACAGTCTATGGTCTCTACTCAGCACTTTTTACGGCCTGAATTCATACACAAGCTGAATCAATGAGCTCAAGTTTTCAACAAAATTACAGATTATAATACAACTTGTATGTAGTAATAAGCATTTTTATGAACTACTTAGAAAAAAAATCGGGTTTAGCTCTTTTAAATAAAAAATAAATAAAAAAATAGGGAAGAGAATAGATTCCATTGTTTTAAGATTGAGAAATACTGTTTACCTTCTGTGCATCCAATGCTGTCATACATTGGACAGTATTTATCTATATTCAAATGACAATCTCTGACATCTTGGTTCAGAAAAGCACATTGCTAGAATACATCTAAAAATGAATTCTGCAATGTACAAAGACAGCCTGGTCTCTTCCCTGCAGATCCAGAACTTGAGCAGATCTGCAGAGAATTAAAGCGAATATCCGGAGGATGAAAAGAGGGCGTGAAAATTCAAACCTAAACGGCACTATGCCGCTACCTAGCCCCTCCCTTGCATTTGTCAATCTTCTTGAAGCCACGCCTCTACGGTTGTGCACGCGCTGAGCCGAACATAACAAAGTTGGAAGGTCCGCAAATATTCGTTCTTTTATTTCATTTCGTGGCGATGGACATTTCTGAGGTAAGACAAAGCATGTATTTAAGAATTTTATCCATTTTGTCTAAGAACTGCATAATATTGCCTATATGCAGCAATGCTAACGATGCTAATTCTGCTAGTTACTATCAATCGTCGCAACTAAATTGCTAAAATAGGTTATATAGCTAGAGCTGACCCTTTGCTTTGCATATCACATGTCACATATATATGTGTTTTGCTGCTTAGAGTTCGCATGCAGCAGAGTCGTCCTCTGACGAGGATTCACCCCCTTTCACCCCGACGAGCAGAGCACCTAAGCGAGCCCGTCCGTCTACGTCCAGGGGCCGTGGACTGGGTCGGGGTCGGCGTGCCCCGAGAGGCCGAAGTGCTGGCAACGTAGGCCTGGAGGATTCTGCACGTGTTCATGAGATTCGAACCCAGCGCATCAACTTTGAACGGGTATTTAGATGTAAATACATTTTGAGAAGTCTTCATTCGGTTGTACGAAACTAGTGTTAGGAGTATATTATAGATAACAATCGTTATATTACTAGTTACTGTAATGGGTAACCATTAATGGCACTGGAATTCCACATGCTGTTCTCGCTGTGGTTAGATATAGAACTTGTGTGACATAAAACAAATTGTACATAGAAACCACTTAAAATTGACATGTAGTGTATCATTACTATACAATTATTAGGGTTAGTGGAATATATTCAAAAGACAACAAATAGAGTGTAATATTGAATGAATGAAGCTTTTATTACGGACTCATGGTCCAACACCATTGTTATGCCTGTATCACAATATAACATTAAAACTAGTAATCTCTTATGTATAACACTGAGTAACTTGGCAAATAAAGGTATTGTTTATGTGCATATAGAACTTGTCTTATTATTGTACAACTATGTGTATATTTCTTAGGAACTCCTTCAAAGCCTAAGCCACCAGGACGCTCTGGAAGTACTGCAGGAAGTGTTGGAGAGGAACCCTGGCGTTCTCCTTGACATCATGCACCGTTCAGGCCCAGCTGCACGAGACCCGCTTACAGATAATCAGCCTACTTGGTGTGTCTGCAGCCACTGTAAAGACATGCCAACAGACATTGAAAAAAAATGCTGCCAGCAATCCCCTGTCCTGTGCGTTTCTCTTGCTCCGCACATGCAGACTCTTGTTCTTCACGAAGGGGTTTTGCGACTGGCGAGGAATCTGTGGAATGACTTACGCGCACTTCATGATGATTCGGAACCAGGGGAGGACAACAGACAATTTCGCCATGCTGCATATAGGCAATACGTTTCATGGCAGTATGGCACACTGGGAGCTCGCAACAGGGTGGTCATTCCAAGTTGTGTGGTATGGAGAATAAGAGAAATACCCTGATCCGAATGGGATCTACACCGGCTTCATTCCCAGACGATTATAATTTAATTATATTGTAAAGTGTTGTTGAAAGGAAGTTGAAAGAAAAGAGGGGCGACAGTAGCTCAGTTGGTAGAGCATTGGCCTTAAGGCCAGAAGGTCGTGGGTTCAATTCCCACCTCTGCACCTTCTCCACCGACTCCCACTGATGACTGCTGTCGTTGTGTCCTTGGGCAAGACACTTAACCCCACTTTGCCCAAAGCCCCCACTGAAAGATCAAGGCTATGCTCACAGTCAGAGAGCAGCCGTCCTCCTGTGGACTCACCACCTGCAGAGGGTCAGTGAGGGGCTGGTGCTATGAGACTTGGGTGGCATCTCTGACTGCCACCCCCCTGACCCAGAAATGGATTAAAGGGTAGAAAATGGATGGATGGATGGTGTTGTTGAAAGGATTGTGTGTGTGTGTGTTTTAATAAAGGATCCTAATTGAATCTGATGCTTATGTGCTGTAATTACAACAGGCAAAGCATTTCAGCAAAAGTATATACATTTATTTACAAACTTCAGAATAGAATAAATATTCTATTGTTGCAGGAAAAATTCCAAATCTATTGCCGTTCTTCTTGACCTGCTGAAATTAAACAACTTATCAGAGGGGAAAAAATAAACAACATTGAAATACAACATCTTACCATCTCCACGGCTGACATGTTTGTCCCTCAGTTCTTTTGTTGATGGGGCTGGAACACCACAAACTAACCCTAAATGTCTTGGGTCATTAGATCTGAGTTTGGTGTGTTTTGGGAGTCCTCTGTTGCTGTTTATCCGAGCAGCCACAATCTTGCTTTGAAGTGAGGGAATATAGGCATAGTCCTTCTTTACCTTCAGAGCATAAAAAGCCCAGGATCTTGATTTTTTATTAAACACTCTTCTCCCTCTAAATGTAACAAAATATATATATATTTTTTAAACAAAGAAAAAATGATTTGATTATCTTTTGGTATACACTTACTGCAAGGATCCATCAGGATATCTTCTCATAGGCCTGTCAACATGGTGGTTGTAGTCCAAAGCAGCAAGATAAACACGTGCATTGTACACAGGCTGTACAAAGCTAAAACGTTTACTTGCATACATGAGAAGATGATTGTGGAAGGATTCCAAATGTGCTGTGGACCTACAAAAATAAACAAAAAAACTCCATTTAATTTTACAATCTATAGAAGAAAAGGATGAATATAGTCACCTGTTTTCCTACCTGAAATTCAAATATTTTGGGACATCCTTGAGCCAGCGTTCTTTCAGAATGATTTCGGAAAGGGCAGAGTGTGCTTTGGATCCTTTCTTTATCCATTCCTTAGTAGGCTCTTCCACCAATGGGTCATGTTGGCATGCATCATAGGGCCATTCATGTTCACCAGTGACGTGGTGCAATAAGCCAATCCACATGGGCTACGAAGTAAAACAATAAAAAAGGCCATTAGTAAGAATACAATAAAAAGACAATTATGGCACAATTCAAGTTCCTCACTTGACTCAACAATATTTGGTGTATCACAATCTCAAAAATTGTATTATCCCACACATCCTGAATCTTATTTCGTCCCAGAGGATGGCTTCTTTTCAAAATAAGTGTACCTGGGGCCAGTATTTCTGTCGCATTGGGGACTACCAGTCTATTCCTGCGCTCGGCCGCCATTTCCAACTGGTTTCTTGCGTGTGCATGTGCAGCTGCTAGTCGGGAATGGTGCTCCACTATCCACTCGTTCATGTTACCAGTGTCAACGTTTACAGCTGTGCCCAATAGGAAGTCGACAGGCAGATTTGGCTTTTGTCCAAACATTAATTCATGGGGGGAATATCCGGTGGAGGCATGTTCTGTTGTATTGTATGAAAAAAGGAGGTGCGGCAACTGTTGGGGCCACTTCCGTTTTTTTTCCGGGGGAAGTGTACGGAGCAAATCGTGGAGTGTACGGTTAAACCGTTCACATTGTCCATTTCCCTCTGGGTGGTAGGGTGTGGTCCTTGTCTTTTCAATTCCATACATTCTGCATAGTTGTTTTAAGAGGTCACTCTCAAAATTCCTTCCCTGATCGCTATGTATGCGTTTTGGGACTCCATAAACATATAGCCACTTCTCTATTAAGACTCTTGCGGTGGTGCTGGCCCTCTGGTCGGAGGTTGGAAAAGCTTGAGTAAATTTTGAGAATACATCAGTGATGATCAGGACATTTTCTCTGCCATCGGAGGCCTTTTCTAACCTTGTAAAATCTACAGCTACCATTTCCAAGGGCTGTGATGCTACAATGTTAGAGGGGAATGTTCTAATCTTGGGATGATTTGCCTTTGCCATTAAACATCGATTGCAATTACGGCAGTACTCTTCCACATCTTTCCACATGTTTGGCCAAAAACATCTTTCTCTCACCAGTTGAATGGTTCGATCAACCCCTTGGTGCCCATGATCATCGTGGAGCTGTTTTAACACCTCTCCTTTGAGACATTCTGGAAGCAGCACCTGAAACACTTCACTGTTAGTCTTTGGTGGTCTATAACAGCGGTATAACACACCTTCTCTCATACAAAGTCTATGCCATTGTTGTGCAAGTTTTCTGACTTCTTTGGGCTCTCTCATCAGTTCTTGTTTTGAAGGGCGGTTAACGCGCTGCCAGTATGATCTGAATATTCCAAGTACTTTGTCCGCCTCTTGTAGAGTTCCCAAATCAGCCTTTTCGCGTGCCGGACATGCTTGAATGGCCGCCACTATGGGGAAGGTGTGAGACGTGGCGTGGACTGATTCATGAACGGTAATGGGAACTTGTATGCCAGGGCCAACAAATGGTTGGGGGGGGACCTGGGTGCTGGCGGGAAAGGGCATCTGCATTTCTGTTTGCTGTGCCAGGGCGATATCTGATTTCAAAATTGAATGCAGCCAGCTCAGACACCCAACGATGCTCTACAGCTCCCAGTCTAGCAGTCTTTAGGTAACTCAAGGGGTTATTGTCAGTATAAACTATAAAGTTATTACCAAGCAAATACTCCTTAAATTTGTCAGTTACAGCCCACTTGAGAGCCAACAATTCAAGTTTTCTGGAACTATAATTTGACATATTTCGCTCTGGTGGTCGGAGCCCCCTACTGGCAAATGCTATAGGCCTTCGCTTCCCATTCTGATCTTGTGATAGAACTGCACCTAGGCCTGCATGACTTGCATCAATTTCAAGGACAAAAGGCTTCACAAAGTCTGCATAGGCCAAAACTGGGGCACTGACAAGGTGTTCTTTTAGGGACTGAAACCCCTGCTCACAGGCATCATCCCATCTGTCTGCAATGGAGGACTTCGCCTGGCCTTTGGGTTTATGTTTGCTCCCAACCACGTCAGACACCAGACGATGTAGGGGAGCAGCTAATTTTGAAAATCCCTCAACAAAACGACGATAATATGAGGCAAAACCAAGAAACGACTGCACCTCTGTGGCTGTGGTTGGACGTTTCCACTGTGCCACCGCATTGATTTTCTCCGGGTCGGTAGCCACACCTTCTGAGGATACAACATGGCCCAAATACTTGACTTGGCTCTGGAAAAAACAACATTTTTTTAGTTTCAGTTTCAGGTGGTGTTGTAGACGGGCTAAAACCAGTTCCAGTCTCTGTAAGTGATCCAAAAAAGATGATGAGAACACAATGATATCATCGAGATATAACAGGAGTGATTGGAAAGACTGATCACCAAAAATGCGCTCCATTAAGCGTTGGAAAGTGCTCGGTGCATTGCACAATCCAAAAGGCATCCTATTGAACTCAAAAAGCCCAAATGGGGTGCAAAACGCAGTTTTGGCCTTGTCCTTTTCAGCAATGGGCACCTGATTATATCTACTCGCCAGATCGAGTGTAGAAAACCACTTGGCCCCCCCCAGGGAGTCTAATGACTCCTCGATTCTCGGCAGGGGATAAGCGTCCTTCCTGGTTTTAGCATTGAGGAGGCGATAATCCACACACATCCTCATGCTCCCATCCTTTTTTCTGCACAATCACTATGGGGGACGCATATGGGCTGCAGCTCTGCTGAATAATTCCACTATTCAAGAGCTCCTGAATATGGGCTTTTACCTCTTCATACTGGGAGGGAGGAAGTCTCCGATAGCGCTGACGTACGGGGACATCGTCTAACAAGGGTACTTCATGTTCAACCAAATTGGTACAACCCAAGTCCCCTTCTCGTTGGCTAAAAACAGTTGAATATTTAGCCAATAGAGCTTGTCCCAGCCGTTGTTGTTCTGCTGTTAGGATAGGCCATGACACATCGGAAAAGTCTAAGGTTGTGCCATCAGTGACATAGTTAGTTTGCAATACTGCCACGTGGCCACCCCCTTCATTTTCAAATGTCACTGGAACTGGGTGTGATTTTGTCTGCACCACATTTAGCCAGGCATCATGACAGCCATGACACATTCACAACTGGTATCTCTACTATTCCCCTGTCCATAGTCAAGAGAGATTTAGACACCAACACTCCCGCTGGGAGGCGGTTTTCTTCTGGGGGCTCCAGCAACACTGAGGGCAGTATGGTCTTAGCAGTGTTTGGGCATACAACAGGGATAAACTTTAAAGAGCCAGCTGGTACACACACTGATCGCCCCACAACCTTTGCGATACCCAGGTATCCATCATTGATTGACTCAATGGATTGGCACTGTGTCAGTGCCTCTTTCCAAGCCGGGCCAGCTGATTTAATTGGGGGAAACTCAAAAAGTTCGGGGCCTAATTGGACAAAAAGTTCATTGTAACATTGCCTGATTATATTCATACCCAGCAGACCAGGAACTGACCTTTTTTTATTTTTGAGATCAGGGTCTAGGGGGACTCTTAACCACTAAGACTCCCATACGAGGAAGATGTTTACCCAGGACAGTGATATCGAGTTCTAAATACCCGATGTAGGGAATGGATAACCCATTTGCAGCCTTAAGCTGTAACCAGTTGCACTGCTTCAATTTATCCTCGCCCTTTGACCTAAAGTGCTCCATGAAGTAGTGTTCAGTTATTGTGGAGACCATTGAGCCTGTATCCAGTAGGCATGAGACATCTAGTCCTCCCATTTTAACATCAACAACTGGGCATTCACCGATTAGTTTGCTTGAGCCTGAGCTCCCCCCTTCTGGTGTTTGGCTCTCCACACCAGAGGGCGCTAGTTTTCCTGCAGCCATGTTTGGGACTCTGCTACATCATTGCACTTGACTGTTGCCTGAGACACATGCTTATTTGTATTTGCGGGTGGGATTTGAGACCTACAAAAGCGCGCTATGTGCCCAGCTTTATTGCAGCGCAAACAAATGGGTTTTCCATTTGAGTCAAAGCGATAGGGTTTGGGTTCCCTTTCCTTCCTGGGGGGCGCTTGGGGGTCATGGGTGAGGCCAATGTGTTTCATAATGGCATCCAACTGTGCTTGTTGTTTTAGCAGGCATTCTTTTAATTCTCCAAGTTCTGTAGAGGGTTGTACTGATATTACATTACTTTGTGCCAATGTTGTATTTCCAGAGTCAGAGTGCACCGTGCAAGAAAAGGCGCGGGGCCTTAGTTTACTTGGGTTCCGACCCTCCTCCGCCCATTTGATGGCGATATTACGTAGTGCAGTAAAAGTGACCGTTGGGTCTTGACTGATCTGACGTTTCAGTTCTCTTCTTAACAAATCATCTTGTCCTTGCTCTACAAATTGGTCACGTAATATTTGGTCAGAATTTGGAATGCCCCCTGGGGTTTTGTTTGACAATGTCCATCAGTGATTTAAGGGCATGCGAAAATTCTCTCAAAGGCTCCCCCTCTCTCTGACTGCGTTGAAAAAATTGAAGCTGAGCAACCACATAGGACTGGGAACAACTGTAGTTTTCTGTAAGAATGGCAAATATTTTTTCTGCAGTATCCCTTTCCCCTGAACTATGGAAATCAAGCTCTGCTTTAGCGCTCCCCTCTAGGTGATCATACAAAAAAAGAATCTGTTCAGCATTTGACATATGTCTACCTGTGATGCACCTGCGGGCCTC